ATATTAAAAATAGAGTTATGAAAAGACAATTTGCTCATTCTGGCAAAACCATTGGTCGACAGTTTCATGCTATCCTCAACTCTGTGTTGTATCTCCATTCCGTGTTGTCAAAGAAACCTGAACCAGTGATAAAGGATTAAAATGATAATAGGTGGAAGTGTTTCAAGGTATATGTCAATAGAGAAAAGGTTTTTATTTTGTTGTTACATCTTCAATCTTAATATTGTCTTAAAATTAAGTTGATTCTTTATGCAGAATTGTCTTGGTGCACTTGATGGGACATATATAAGAGTCCATGTAAATGAGATTGACAAACCTAAGTATCAAAATTGGAAAGGCGAGATTGCTACTAATGTCTTAGGTGTTTGCACCTGAGACATGCAATTTATATATGTCTTACCTGGTTGCAAGGGTTTAGCTAGTGATTCGAGAGTGCTTTGAAAGGCCATTTTCAAAAAAAAAAAATGGCTTAAAAGTACCACAAGGTATGCAAAAATTCATATAAAGTAGAATTGAACTTTTTCATATCATATAAAGATACAATTTAATTGTATTAAAACTAATTAAATCAATTATATTATATTATAGAATACTATAACTTATGTGATGCTAGTTACACAAATAGAGAATGGTTTTTGGCTCTTTATAAAGGGCAAAGGTATCATTTGAATGAGTGAAGGCAAAGGCAATAACACACTAGTGCTCATGAGTTCTTTAACATGCAGCATTCTTGAGCTAGAAATGTCATAGATAAGTATTTTGGCTTGCTCAAAGCACGATGGGCAATTTTAAAAAATAAGTCCTTTTACCCTGTGAAAACTCAGTGCAAGGTCATTAGTGCTTGTTGTCTTCTTCATAATTACATCAGACAAGAAATAGCCATTAATCTTATAGAGTCTAATATTAGTGAGGATTTAGATAGCTTTCAATAATCTACGTTGGGTGATAGGATTACCTATTGAGAGTACTGATGCTTGGTAAGGTTTTAGAGAAAACTTAGCAGATGAGATGTTTAATCATTGGAAATCAACAAATGTGTAGCTTGTCATGCATGAAAAATAGCCACTATGTTGGCTTAAATTTTTCATTTCTGTTTTTGACAATTTAAACATGGTCAACTTTTAGTTATGGGGTTTTTTTTATTTATTTTATGAAAAATGTTGATTATTATTTGATTAGAACAATAAATTTGTTTCTTTACAATGTATTATATTTTTAAGCATATTGTGCCTTGCTTACATTTACTTTGGCATGTAATATTACTAAAAATTAGGATGGAGAGTGAACAAAAAATAGTTAACAATGAGAAGAAAACTATTAATTCCCAAAAGGGTGAGACCTTGAGAAAAAGAAAGAAAAAAGATTCAGTTGAATCATTTAGCCATAGAGTTTAGATGAGGCTTGAAGATGCCAAGTTAGTTGAATGTATTAGTGAAGCAATTAATGCTGCAAATTGGAAAGTTGGTAATGGGACATTCAAAGCAAAATTTCACCAATACTTGGAGAAAATGCTTGAGAAAATGTTGCTAGGTTGTGGGTTAAGGGCAATTCCTCACATTGAAAATAGATGTAAGACATTAAGAAAACTATATTGTGCCATTGTTGAAATGGTTGGACATGGTTCAGGTTTTGGATGGAATGATAAAAACATGTGTATGGTGGTAGATAAACAAGTTTTTGATCTTTGGGTGAAGGTAAAAACTCATTTTTAAAATGCTGATTATATTTTCTCTATTCTATATTGTTTTACAAGTGCAGATTCTTTTTTTTTTCCAATTTGCAGAGCCTCCCTACTGTTATTGGCCTCAGAAACAAGCCATTCCCACATTACTTTGATTTTTTGGAAAAGATAAAGGTAATGGAAATGGTGCAGAGGATTTATTTGTTGCATGTGAAAAGATAGACAAGGAAGGGGAAACAAAAAGTACTGAAGAAGATGCTGAAATGGAACTAATGGACAGATCACACTTGACAATGCTAACTCACTATCATCTGTTTGTAAACCTACTTTAGCGTCTACATGTACTGTAGAGACAAGTAAGAAAGCTGAAGGGAATGGAAGCAAAAGAAGGAAACACGGTGAGGTTGTGATGGAAAACTTGGTGTCTAAACTTGGAAAGATTGGCAAGTCGTTTAAAGGGGCTAGGGAGGAGTTCAAGCTAATTGCAAGCTTTTTTGAAAGGAAAGCTCAAGGAGATGAGAAGAGTATGACTTTATTCAATGAGATTATGAACATTGATGACTTAAATAAAGAAGACATGTTGACTGTGAATGAGATTTTGATGAAAGATGAGTCAAAAATTGATTTGTTATTCACCCTTCCTCTCCAATTGGAAAAAAGGTTTGTCATGAAGCTCCTTGGGAACACTCCTGAATATGGATACAAGCCATCATTTAGTTTTGATACTTAATTTATACTATGATTTAGTATCTTGTCCTTAAAACATTAATAATCTATACTATGATTTAGTATCTTGTTCTTATGACATTAACTTAGGGCTTTTTGCTTTTTTAAGTGTTTGAATAAAGATGAATTAGGATTTACGATCTTGTTCGTAAAATGTGAACTTGAAAAACTTTTGTTTATTTTAGGTATTGAATAAATATGATGTTGGTTTTTGTTTTTACAATGTGAAAGCAGGAACTTTTTGTTTTTATCTTAGGAGTTTGGATAAATATTTGGATTTGAAACACTTTCTTTAGTGGTTCTGTTGATGCTGTTGGCTGTAATCTCTGGAAAGTAAAAAACAAATCTATTTTTAAAGGGTAGAAAGGAGAGTTAAGCCAAGTGTGGAGTCAATGATCCAGTAAGCATAATTTAAACTTGATATCATTTGTTTTCCGTTTAAAATTGTTTTGTGCATACCATTTTATCATGATCATAACACATTGTACTACTTAGATAAATGTGTAATGTATGTAATCTGTAGAAAACAAGATTATTAGTGAACTTGAAAAACATTATGCGTGTGTTTAAGTGTGCTGCAGGTGTGTGTGCTTAACTGAGCCCCCAAAAGCTTTGTTTCCATGTACAAAAGGCAATTTTTGCTTAATGTTTATGAATATTCCTCAATAAGATTCCACCAACTACACCTTCAAAGTGTGTTTTGTTTTAAGTCATTTTTAGTCTTTTGTTCTGCTTGTTTCTTATCCTTCCCTATTTTTAATTTATATAATTATTAATGTTGATAGTGATGTAACAGAAAAAGTAGATTTTGCTAAAATAATATGCACAAACCAATTGTGGTTTAAATGACAAGATCAATGGGAAGGATTCTATTTATTTTGTGAATTCTTGAAAGCAAGAAACCCCGGTCGTGCCTTCGTGCAACCTGACCATTTTGTAGCTTTGGCATGAAGCGCTGCTTGTACCTCGGTAAGATTTAGGTAGGAATTGATGTGAATTTCAGAGCAGGGATCAAAGTTTCACATTTGCTTAAGGCGCATTTGCTTTGAAAAGCCTTTTGTTTCACATCTTGGCTTCTTTAATCTTGAGTTATAAATAGCTCTCATCTATAGTCAATCCTTTGTATATTGCTTTTGTGATATAAATACAAGTTCTGAATTTAAAAGGAGAAGTGGTTTTTTACATTAAAAAAAAATGTCCAGTTGTCATGGAAGAATGGAGTCATCTCATTTATGTATTTCTTTTTTTCTGAGCTTACAAAAGTGTTAAACAAAAAAATAAATAAAACAAAGAGAAAAGCAAGTTGAGTATGTCGAAGACAAAAATGAACTGGAGTAGGCTATTGACTCAAACACCCGAGTTATGTGAGGAATGCCTTCAAACAAACTACTATGGTGCCGAAAGAATGATCGAATCACTTATTCCCCTTCTCCAACTATCTGATTTACCGAGAATTGGCAATGTCTCCTCCTCCCTAGGGAAGTTAAAGAATGTATCAAATGAATGGGCAAAAGCAGTCCTAAGTGATTCTGAAAACCTCACAGAACAGAAAGTGGATGAGGTATTAAGTAAGTATATGAAAGATTTCAAGGAGGGCTGATTAGAATCCAAAGGTTGGCCTGGCTTTATATCAGCCTATACACTCTCTAAAGCAGCCATGAATGCCTACACAAGGATTTTGGCCAAGAAGTATTCTGCATCAACTGTGTCTTTCCTAGCTTTGTCAAAACAGACATAAACTACAATAGTGGGATCTTAACTGTTGAAGAAGGTGCAGAGTCTTGTGAGATTAGCCTTATTGCCTAATGGTAGTCTTTCTAGTCTCTTCTTTTTCGGATGGAAAACTTAGATTTTTTTATCGAAGCTACTTCATTTTAAACAAGTTTGGTGTTACTTTTAGATTTTTTTTTAAGGTTAATTTTTCAAGGTTATTTTAAATATTTTTTACTTAATATTTTTTTTTTATATAATATCAAACACAATAATTTAATATTATTATTAATTTATAATATTATACTAAACATATTAATTTAAAATCATTAATAATCAAATTATCTTGACGACTTTATCATCATAATAATTAAATCATCACAATAATTTTAAAAATAATATCAAATATTACTTAAAAATAAATCAAATAATAAAAGAACGATAACTTTTTATACATAATTATAATTCAATAATTTGTGGAATCAATAAAAATAATTTTATTTATTGTTTATTGTTTTGTTCTCATTTATTCTTTATTTTTTAAAAAAATTCACAATCAAATATTTATATACTTTTAAAATTTTTAATTTATTCTTAAATCTCTTTTATTCTTATATTTATTTTATATTTGTCTGGCTAAAAAACCATTACACATTTGAACCTACAATCCCCAAATATCAACTTTGATATTATACCAACTTATTCAAAGATTCAATCCATTTACAACAATTTTTTATTTTAGAAGAAAATTAGAAAACATTTCCAAGTAGCATAAAAGTAAAATTCATTTGAATTTCTGTAAATTCTTACTGGGGCCCACATGAATTGGATAAAGAATCTATGAACAATCATAGACGATTCTCTCATCTCCAATCTAAACCGTCCGAAGTCCTAATACCCTAGGAAATTTATAGCATTAACGGTGCCGATATTTTTAAACGTGGCAATCAGGCACTGCAACTAACCGGAAAGAAAGTTGTCCTCTGCTCTGTTTTCTTTCGAAAGTTTTCCTATTAACCAAACAGAAAATTCTCTCTCTCTAAACTTGTCAGTGGAGCCCAGTGTATGATCTTTCAATCTTCAGCTGTAAAACCTATATTAATTCAGTAAGTTTTTTTCCCTATATTATTCTAATAAATATTCCTTATGTCGTGAAACCTTTGGAGAAAAGTTACTAATAAATATTGAATTTTCCAAGTGACTGTAAATTCTCTAGAATAAAATTTAAAAACCCAAACTGAATGCTGGGATTGAATTTGTCTTTAGTATCATGAAATGGGTTTGTGTTACAGATCAAAATTGTGGGCTTTTTAAGTTGATAGTTTCTTCTTTTACAGTTTTTATTTTGGTGAAAGATATGATCTTGGTGATCGGAATTTTATGTGATTATGTGAAAAAAAAGAGTTGGGTTTCTGCCAAATTTTATTTATTTGTTTTTTTATTTATGATCTCAGAGATGGATGTTAATTACTATATAACCAACTTCATCAAAAGAAGGGAAAAATATTCACTGTTGAGTGCTTGAATCTACCTTAATTTAACCATTGTAGTTTCCTAGTGAAATGATTTTAAAATTTCTGAATTTCAAGTAGAAAATCTATCTTAGGTTAATCGTAGAGAATGGGGATGCACTTGTATTACATTCTGCTTCAGTTTGTGTAGTGTTAAATACTTGTAAGAATTGAAAGTAATGAACTTCGTGGTTTTATTTTTTGTTATTTATTGCAGTGGAAACTGAACTTGATAATGATGTTCAACTTGAACAAACTGATAATGATACTGGTGATAAGGTGTTTGATGATTCAACTAGTAAGGAACATCAGCTTGGTAATGATTTGCAACTCGAACAAACTGATAAGGATATTCGTGGTGAGGTGTTAGACACTACAACTAATGATGAGCATCGGCTTGGTAATGATGGAACAATGGCCGGAAGTTCTGCTGAAGATGCCTCCCAGGTTGAAGAAAATGATAGAATGACTCAAAATTCTTCTGGAGTGCAGTTAACTGTGGTTGAAGGGGATGAACCGTACGTAGGTCAGGAGTTTGAAAATGAAGCGGCAGCATATGCATTTTATAGTGCATATGGCATGCGGATGGGTTTCATAACGCGTATGAACTATCATAATCGATCTAAAATTGATGGATCCATCGTTTCACGAGCCCTTGTATGTAACAAAGAAGGTTATCGAAAGCCTTATAGACGCGATGTGAAGAATGTTAGATCACGGGCACCCACGAGGGTCGGTTGCAAAGCAATGGTCTCTATAAGGAAAATGAGCACCGGAAAATGGGTCATTACGAAGTTTGTTAAAGAGCACACTCATCCATTGGCTGGCTGCGAGGCTCAAAGGGCACTGATCTCTAATCAAATTCCTGTAAGTGCTTGTTGTTGAAGTTGTTATTTAATTTATATGCAATGAGTTTTTTTTTTTTTTTTTCATCTTGCTAAATGGCTGCTTTTCTTTTAGCATTTGACGCACACCTAATTCAGTTTGGACACTGAAGAAAACAAAAGCTTTGAACCTTTATATCATTTTGAATGTTAATGTATCCTGGAGACTATTCCACTAGTATGAGGGATTTGTGCCTCCATGCTTAATTTTCTAATTAAGTGAAGATTTCTCTTAATTTTGGGTAACAAAAGATATCTCTTGAGCCTTGCCTACCTGACTTAATGCCATTTTCTCACTCAAATCTTTTGATTGCCTAACTTGAGTTATTGATGTAGATGCTAATCCCTTCTTTTATAGGAATTGTGAAGTTCTTTGCTTGTTGCTTTTTCAGAGGTTGTACGAAACTGCTTTACTGTTTACTTGAATTTTAAAGAAAAAATTACAGCAAAAGTGATTTCAAATTTTCTCAAAGGTAACTCAATGCCTAGGCTTCTGACTAATTGCTTAATCACATCAAAACCAGTGGTAAGGCAGTTTAACTCTTCGACTGCAAGCTACTAATCACTAAATTCGTTTTTGGTTACTTATTGACACACTATTGGAATTTGAATGTTGGATTTGGAACTGAAGTTCCTTCAATTACTTTTATATGAATTTTGTTTCAAGTTTTTTTAATGTGATTTTGTCCAGTGCTAATGGTTTGCCATGGAACTGTCTGATTGTTGCGTTGTTACTTCTGTGGGATAGTCTTGTCATTTGCAATTCCTTTTTTTCTTTTATGCCCCTGATAGTTTTAAACCGGTGTCATTTGACCTTGGAACCTTCTTTTGAGAGGAGAACGCTGGCCTGTAATCCCTTGGTCATTCCTTTTCTTTTATATTTGTGCTGGATTAGATAAGGAGGATTTTAGGCACCAAACTCTTGCCTTAGTGGACTCCTGATTCTGATTTTATTTAGAATTAAGGACTCAATACTAGCTCTGACTTCTGTTCCTTTTCCTGCAAACTTATATAAATTGGATAATGTTTCATACTCCAAAATTTTGATCCCATCCAAACGTTTTTCAACAAAGTTAGAGGACTTGTTATTGAATGTCTAAGAACTCCATGCTCTCTGACATTAGTTTAAAAATTCGAGTTTTCTCATCATCTATTATGTGTGTGTATACATACCAACATATATGTATGTTACAGATTGCTTTAAGAAATATGATTTTATTCGAGACCTCATACCACTGTACATTCAGGGCAAGTTAACATCAGGCCTTGTTCATCTACTAAGTTGCTCATATGTTTTTCCTTCTATTATATTTCCTGTAGAATGAAGACAAGAGAGTTCAAGAACTAACTCGACAACTTCTGATTGAAAGAAAGCGCTCTGCTTCACTTAGAAGGTTCATTGACCTTCTATTCAATCACATTGAGGAGCACACACAGGGCCTCTCAAAAAGGATCCAGTACATAGTAGATAGCGTGAATAAATTTGAATCTGAAGGCAAGAATAGATAGTGTGAACAAATATTGAAGTTGGAGGGTCTAACCTTCTGAATTTCAGGTAGTTTTGCTATTGCAATGCAAAATGTGCATATTCCTTTGGGGTTTTGTTCCATTCTTATAAGAATTGTTGCTACTTAACTATAAGCATGTGCAATAGATTAATTACACCTGGTTTCTTGTTTTTCCAGTTCCCAGGAGTCCAACCATCATGTATATTAGTTTTGTAAATTTTACTCCTTGAGGAAAATGTTTACTTGATTTAATTTTCTACACTCACAAAGTCTACTTCCCTTGGCTATTGAGTATAGGATATCAGTGCATTGTGTGCAAATCTAAAAATAGGTAAAAAATGAGCAAGATAGATGTTAATATAGTGATTTCTATCCAAACATGGGTGGATTTCCTTTGTAGGAAAGACACTAGACATTGAAGCACAAATATCAGAAAAATGTATATAAACACTAGTACTTGAATTTTTCAACTAGACTTTTGATTTGGGCAAAGTTGAAAAAAGTGGTGAGCTTTCTTGTTGTTCATTATTTTCCTAAAAGAAGGAAAAAGCAAAGAAACTTTTAGTGTACATGACTTGGTGTGTGTATGTGGTCAGAGTACTCGACTGGATTATCAGAAATTTCTGGCTGGATGGCTGGTGAAATGCCTAGTGATTGCCTGTTGTCCATGGTATGCATTATTGCCTGTTGATAAAGTGTATTGCAAGATTCTATTCAGTGTTGACAGGTTCTCCCTTGGGCTGACTGTGCCTCAAGCAGTTTAATCTCTTGGTACATGGATTGGAAACCCAATGCACATCTTCAACCAAACATGCATTGTAGGAAGGTGGGGAAGACCAAAAATATTTGGTATCAGAAATCCCAAGTCCTCATTTGTTGAAGAATGTTTCTTCAATGGTTGGTCAATGCGCCCTAATTTAAAACAACTTATTTGAATTTTTTTTAAATTATACTAGTAGTAGTACTTAGACGTGAATGTAAATAATAAAAAATGGTATAAAAGTTTAGGAAGTAAATGAAAATGTAGGTTTTTATAGAAATGAGTGAAACAAGAAGATTCGAAATTATAACCTAATATGATTCTTTTTTTTGGCTTTTCATACAATCGATTTTAAAGTTGTGAGCTATAAGATTTCGTTTATTATTATTGCATACTAGTAGTAGTACTTCTATTCTACGTCACCCTAATTTAAAATTCAAACTGTTGATTTTGTTGATTTGTGATAATTCGTTTGTACATATTATGTAAAAACATTGATAATTCATGTAGTGTAAAATACGAAAATTGTGTGTTGAAAATTGTATCGAGGCGGAAAACAAAAAGTTCATTTTTAATTTTTGTTCAACTCATGGATTTTTTAAAATAGAAGAAAATTTAAATTCGTGTCACTTTATATTTTTTTTAATATATTTTTCGTATTATATTATCATATTATATTTTAAATCATCAGGTATTACCGTATATTTATTGTCCGTAAGAACTGCACCACCACAATCCAGAATTTCTTTCCATGAGTAGCTATCAACAAGCAGAAAGACTGTAAGATTGAAACCATGGCCAAATATCCTTTCAGCTCACGATAACATCCCCTTAAAGCAGACCCTGAAAAATTGCTATGACATCATAACTTTAAATCATAAAAAATTTACAACACTTTAGCGGTCACAAGCCGCCAATGATGGAAACCGTAAGTTTGCATCTACATGAATGCCTGTGAAAACTCAATAGGAAATGGCACATCTCTATAATAACAAAGTAACAAAACATCTTTTTAATAACAAAGTAAAAATAACATCATAACAAAGTAACAATGGTCTGTTGGTAGACTACAAAACTTTCAGTTTTAATGATCAGTGTTCAATCCATGACAGCTTAAAATGTATAAAAAAAATATCTTGCATCTATTTGCTGCAACTCAACCACAATCAACAAAATTTCCCTCCAAGGGCAAAAGTAAATAGAGAAGGATGAAACAGGGATGATCAGGCTGGGAAGAACAGCACCGGTTCTTGGCCCAGCTGGGAATAATAAGATAACAAAGGATTGTTTTTGTAAATTACTATGACAACCGTTATGATACATTTCTTATCTCGTTGAACATCCTATCAATTGAACCAGGGCTGTTATAACAAATGCAAAATACATTGAAAAAGAACCCATAACCCTATAAGAGGAGGATATGGAACCTCATGCTAACTACCTAATTTAAAAGCATCCACAAAACGACCAAAGCAGACACCAGCTTTCCAATAGTTAACCATTATCACAAATGACTGCAATCTTCCAGCTCTTAAATAAGGGGGCTTTCTGTACATAAGCATGCCAATCCCCTCAATGGCTGCAACAACAACCCCTGCAACTAATACATCCCAATCACCTGTTTGGCCAAGAATAGTTGCCAATGCATTTGCAGTATATAAACTTAACAGAAGGAGAAATATCTTCATTGGGAAGTTCTTTCTTGCTTAGTTAAGCTTCTCTAATAGCTGTCTGCCACCTGCACTCACTATCCTGCCCAGTCGAGTACCACCAAGATTAGGGCTGTCACTGTTGACACTATCTTCTCCACCATTCCCAGAAACCCCACCAGTGTCTAAGGCAAAGGCTATTTTCCAACCATGTCTTCTAGTTGAAAAACTGTTTTAAGGTGAGAAAAACAAATGACTTGTTCATAAGGGCATCTAACAATTATTCAAATAACCAGCGAAAAATCAGAACATCAGCTAACAGTTAACTGTAATGTAACATCACAAAGGGATAAATCTGGCTAACTAGTACTATTACCAGAATCTTTCATGATCATGGCCCTTCTGACAATGGGAGGCCTTCAGCAGCTCAAAATTTTGATAAAGTAAAAAGTATACCTCTTTTTGGGAAATGCTAAAGACTTTACACCAATCTTTGAAACTTGTCCACCTAAAGTAGGTTTGCTGCTCCACCTCTGGATTGCACAAGTTGCAAGAGTCAGTCATGAACTTTCAAGGACTTCATTCTCCAATATTGACAAACCTGCCTTCAGATACATTCTTCCCATTTGACAGGCCAAGAACTGCTAAGAGAGAAACTATAAAATCATTATGTAGAAGCACAAAACATCAAAACTTTTTCTGCAGTTTAGTGCAAATCTCCAACTTTGACAACTGTGCAAACTTTGGTGCTTGATCAAAATTGACAATGCAATAGAGAGAACACAATCTCTGCAAATGTTAAATGTTATGCATCATTGGACCACTGATGTCCTACTTAAGAATTAATGGGCAGTCAAAATAAGAAAGGAAAGATTAAGTTGTTCAAACTGACCACGGAAAAAGTGAGAATAATACAACCAAAAGCAAGCCAAGGTAAAAGTAAAGCAATTACATAATTACAAGGAAGCATTCTAACGCAAGTCAGATAAAAGGAGCAAAATCATGAAACACAGCGTAGACATTATGGAATTTCAAATTTGTCACCACAATAACATGATAAACAAAAATGCACCGTATTGCTTGAGAAAAATGAGTAGGTCGCTATTAGCTAATACCAAAACGTGTTTTAATCTAGGAAAGAAAAAGACAACACTAGACCTAGCAATTTTAAACATGACTTGATGACAGGACAAGAAAATGATAAAATAAAGATATGAAAGCAAATACAGTTTAAAATTTTAGCAAAAATCAAATACGGGTTTGGAAAAAACCAGAAAAGTGTTTCTTGAGTGGCATATCACACGAATTATGACAATCACTAGGATCACTTTAGTTGGCACAAGGCATAGTTCAGCTCAAATAACCTTGGCCGGTCTTAAGAAAGGCATGACCAAGTGCTCAAGTGGCATAGCAAAAGAAGCTCCTACGTTAAACATCCCAAAATTAAGACCCTATCAACTTATTACAGTCAACCCAAAATGCATGATTTATTGTAAAACGAATTCAAAGACAAACAATCACCAATTAAGAACACAATCTCAGAAGAGATAAAAAGTCACAAAAAATCTTGTTACTCTTTTATCTAACGTAATAACTTACCGGCATTGTTGAAATTGCACGAAAAGGAGAAGAAAACATATTATATTTGTAATATTAGAAATGACAGCATAATTAATCCTAGGAATTAAATTCGGTAAAGCAAATTAAAGGACACAAAAATGAAATTAATTTGAAACCCAAACCTTCAATCTCTATAATTGTTGAGACTTGGCAGTTTGTTAGCACAAAGAAGGGAGAGAGCAGTCAGCCTCCCGGCAACAGAAAAGAAACAAAAACCATGGCGAATTTTGATTGACCGAAACGAAAATGTACAAAAAACTTTCTTCGGGCTATCACGGATTCGGGTCCCATGCCTACTATCAAACCCAGCAAAAAGTAATGGGTTATCGATATTTATTAAGGTTATTTTAAATACATAATTTATAATCATTTATTTTAAATGATCAAATATAATATATTTTATTTTTATTTAAAAGATTGAATAATTTATTTATTTTAAATTTTTTTCATAAAAAAAATTGTTAGAATTTGAATTTTAAATTTTGTAAAGGTTAGTTAATTATATAAAATAAATAAATTAAATTTTAAATTTATCATATTTTTTAAAATTATAAATTACTTTAAATTAGTATTTGGTTGAGATAATCTCATCAAAAATGATGGCAACTAATATGGTAATTAAATCAATATATTTAATAAAGTATAAAATGATTCTATGTTATAATATTATAAAATCACTCTAATTAAATTATTGATTTAGAGAGCAATTTAAATTTCACTTAACATAATAGAAAACTTTTATAAAAGTATTGTAACTTAACATTTAACTCAATAATTAATGCATGACTTTTTTATATAACAGAGTAAGGTTTAGGTCTCTCTTTTTTTTAACCAAAAACAAAAACTAAAATCGGTTAATTTTTCAAATTACCCTATACTACTACCCTTTCGAGGGATTTTTTTTTAAACTTATTTATAAAATTTTTAACTAATATTAAAATATAGTTTTAAACTAAACCATATTAAATACTAATTATTCATTTAAATAATTTTTATTTTGTATATTTTAATTTATGTATTGATATTAATATAATTATATTTTTTAATTATAAAATTAAATATATAAAAATTAATTAGTTACAAATTACATAACACAAACGTATTTGTAAAATAATTTATATTAATTTTAAAAAATATTTATATTTTATTATATATCTTAACATATATTTTTATTTATCATATAAAAATATACTAATTTTTATGTTCTCAAATTCTTTTAATGAAAAAGAATTTTCTTAAATAGTTTTTTATCACTTAATTTATTTAATAAATTATATATTTAATTTTTATTTTTACCCTTTATTTATAAAAGTAATTGATAAATTTTTTTTTATTGCCAATAAATAATTGACAAATTTATTTCATGTTCCAAATAAAGATTAAATA